CGAGTGGGGCTCGAACCCAGGACCTCACGACTGGAACGCAAGCATAAGATTCTGTCAAAAACCGGGCAACTAAGCAGACCGTTTTCTTTCGTTTTCCTTATACAGGATAAACACAACCCATATTGTGGGGATTCNGTATGTATGTATGTATGTATGTATGTATGTATGTATGTATGTATGTATGTATGTATGTATGTATGTATGTATGTATGTAGGAGTTGCGTAGGTGTTACTGTAATCGTGAATTGGGTAACATGATATTGCACAAGTCAGGACTAATCGTTAGACAAACAATTTTTTCTTTCATTAATAGCGGTAGGTTGGTACTCTAAAACGTCAATGGTAGATCTTAGTCTCAGTTCGGTTCATCCAATCTTATGTTGGGCAATGTCTTTGATTTTGTTGTTGAAAACTTAGGATATTTTGAAAATATTTTATATCCGGCGAACAAATTCGAAATTGTCCAAATATGGTCACGTAACCAAAAAAGTAACGTCAAACGTCACCTCAGACGGTGTTACCATTAGGTCAAATGGCCCCGGTCTGCACTGAAACCACGTGGTGCAGGGCCTAAATGTGAATGTGAATTGAAAGGTGTCCGATCTCGTATCCTCATCTCGGACGGAGGTGTGTGTGTGTGTGTGTGTGTGTGTGAAAGGAGAGCACTGAACTACGGAACAACTTCAGTCTCATCCCAGATAATTTCGGCTGGAATATGATACTGTTTGTGGTGCTGCGATGGACAAAAACTAAAATTGGTACCTGAGAACCGGAATTGCAAACTCTCGGTCGAAAAAGAACCGTCAAAATCCATCGTTAGTACATATTTTATCGTTCGTTCGTTCAGCCTGCCGATACAAATCACGTGACCAACTAAGTGGTGATTTCCTCCATGGTAGGAAACACGACTCGCTATAGACGGAGTTCTGTATTGTTGTTCAGAGCCGTTCGCCAGAAGTTTGCTACTGTCACTTTCATTTTTTAGAGCCTACCTCTACACTGTAGTTCCCTGATGAAATTTCGAGTAACGAACTACATGATAGGGGTGATATTGGACGAAGTACTAACGAAGCCATATGCCGCCTAAGTTGAATGGTAGTGACTGGATTTAAGTCTCGCATTCGTATGGTTCCAAATGTGCTGGTTATGGCGACTGATTGAGTTACCGGACTTCATGCGTTCTTTCCATGTTTATCATACCTCTTTGACAAAATTTTCCTCATAATTATTGTACAGTAGAACAGTTTAATTTCGGTTAATCGTCTATCCGCATAACTCATTCCGCGGATCTCCTATGCATTTCCTTTTCACTCTCATTCATCCTCGTTGAGTTGTACCGATCGATAACTTCCGAACCATTTTGCTCAAATCTTGATTGGGCATATCTAACGATCATGTGTTCGCGTTACTTTGTTGCACTTGTCATAGTCACACACGGGAATGAACAGCAGTTAACACTTGCCACTTCGCCTGCTTCATTTTTGTTCCCTTTTGTTTTTTTAGCCAGGAAAATGGGTCGCACACAACCGCCTGTTTCTTCCATGACCACGTGTCCCGTTGGTTGGACTCGAGTGAATGGCCAGTGTTATCTTGCTGCTCCGGTCGGGGTACGACGCAGTTGGTTGGATGCGGAACAGGCATGTCAGGATGCGACCAAATTGATCCCGTCCGCTCCGGGTTTGATCTATGCCGGTCATTTGGCCTCCGTGCATTCAGTCGAAGAGCAAACGCAACTTGTGAACCTGTCGCCGGCAGCATCCACATGGTTTGGTTTGAGAATGCTCGGTACTTCCGTTATTTCGTGTTCACTCGAATTTTTCGTTCCTATTATATCTGCAGTTACTTGTGAATAGTGTGCTGTGGGATTGATTGATTGAAACTGACCATCTTTCAGGCTTCAGCTTCACGCACGGTCCTCAGCTCTTACAGTCAATCCTAAACTAGGAAGCAATAGACTCGATTTTCGCTCGTGGTTCATGCGCATCTTCCTGGTTGGTTTGGAAGTAGGGTTTTAACCGACTCTCCTAAGCCAACCCGGATATTGGCTTTA